CAGTCAGTAGTTTACCAGAATGTGAGAATCCACCCTCAGACATCAGGATCATTTGTGATTCAGTGAAACTTTGCCCCCAAAAGTTCACATCCACTTCTATGCTCAATATTTTCTGAGAGGAGGTCAAATTCAGAACTTCAAAAGCAGAGCTCCCTTAACCTTTTGAGACAGAGAGGGGAGGCCTCCAAATATGAATGTGTGCCAAATGATGGTGCTGTCCGAAGCCCAGGTGAAGCTCAAGAAAGATAAAATTCTTCAGGCTTGCTTTTATCTAAACCTCTTATACGTGGGTTTACAAGTGTAGAGAAAAATGCAGAAGCATTCAAATATAAGAAATAATACAGGGCATATGAAAGAGTGAATGCACTTGAATATTTAGGCACCAAATGAACATCAATATCTAGGGCTATTAGAGGGTCAAGTTTAAAATCTGTTTTCTTCCAATGAGCTAATTTTCCTCCTGACCAATTAAAGTAGCTGTCTGGCAGCTTCCAGGTTGTACATAACCTCTGCATCCACAGCCTTTCTCTCTTCAGCACATGCCTGTTACACCTCCACTTATAAAGCATGGAAAGAAGTTTTTAAGGAATGAACTTCCACCACTTTTTCCTCAGTTATCACTTAAAACCTCTAACATTTATACCCAGTTACAAAAACTAGAGTCAAATGGTATCTTGAAGCTAGAGATGATATTACAATCTTTTTGGTTGGTTGCAGAAGTTCCATTCCACTGATCCATGCTGGTATGGCTTTGCATGTTAATTTCTCTCATGCTTGAGTCTTTGTGTGTGGTGCTGGGATGGACTCCATGGCCTCTCACATGCCAGGTAAGTGCTCTGCCACTGAGTTGCACACACAGTCTCCAAAGATACCCTCAACGTCTTTTTCTTTTAAAGTTCTTCTCCCCCAAATGTGAAGAATGGAATCCTCAGGCCAGACCAAGCAAGTATTTGTTGAAGATCAGTGTAGAAGACTCATAGTTCAACACACTTCATGAGGATTGGTCTTCTTTTGCATCTTCTTCTCTTTCGCAGTCTTCTTCTCTATCTTTTGCTGTCTTCTTCAGTTATCTTCTCCCTTACTTCCTTTTTAATATTATTTATATCTATTTACTGAGGATTTATGAATTAAATGATATAATGTGTTATATTTTCTCTTAAATAATCTAATGTAGAGGACTGTACCAATCGGAGGATGGCCATTTGTTGAAAATTGTTGAAACTTGAGTGGTGCAAGAGCTTTTTTGGTTTTTGAGGGATTTTTTTGTTGTTTTGTTTTTTAACAAGAGATTTTATCATACTATACTTCTGTATGTATTTGACATTTTCTGTTAAAAAGATAACAGGTATACTTTACTCATATTTTTTTATTTATTTACTTTTTTAAAATGTATTAAAGTTGGTATAGAAGGGAAGAGGTAGTAAATTGAGGGCAAGCTGTGAGTACAAGACCCTAGAATAGGCCCAACAAATTTATAATGGCCAGAGCTGAAGCAGATAAGGCAAAATTAGGAAATGAACAACAGTGTTCCAAATTGCTATTTGAAACTTAGGAAAGTGAATTCTAGATGAGGAAGTAAATCTTATAGACAATACCCAAGAATCAATTACCATGTCACAGATACCTTGGTACAGCAGAACATGAGTTAGGAATAAGTTCAAGGGCAAATAGAACACAAAAATATAACAGTAGTGCTCTTAGGCAGTTCCACATCTTTGTGGTAAAGTGTCTTCATTCTGAGAAGCAAATGCAAAGAGGGAGATTTAGCTGTCTCTTAGGAAAGTTCTTAGAAACTACCATGCTAAGGGGAATCCAGGCCACATGTGACACATATATATACACGTATATATACATTGTAGAGCCAAGACAGAATCTGCTGCCTATGAGAAACCAAAAGACAGCATTCCACCAAACTCTAAACAAGTATTTATTTTTTGCCCAATGATAGTAACTGCTGAAGAAGCAAATTGTTTCACTATTTTTCCTGGTTGCTTCTTATGAAAGAAGTTGACCCAGAAAGAAATTTTTCTTGCAGAAAAATCTAAAATCCAATAATAAGGAGAAGATAGATTAGGGTGATTACAGTGAATATCCATTTTCATATGTCTTTTGGATATTATGAGGTTATCAGAACTAATGATGAAAATCTTATGACTTAGCTCATGGGAAAGGGTGTACGAATAGTAGGCAAGAACATCCAGGATGCTGTGTGCATCTTGAGAAGACACTAAGGGATCAGATTAACCCAGCCTCCCTCATTCTTCCCTCTCTTCAATTGTTCCATTTTTTTAAAGACTAAAACTTGAGCAAAAGCAAGAGGAATAGAGTTGTCAAGTTTGTCATTGGGAAAAAAAATATATGGAATAGGGGGAGATCTCTTGGGGGAAAGTTGCTCTGGTTTTTCATGAGGTGATATTTTATTAGAGTCTCAAATGGGAATAAGATGGGATGATACCTAGAAAGCAGAAATTTGAGGAAGGTAGTTGGAGGGAAGGTAAGAGATGCTATAATAACTAATATAATCCTGTTATGAAAATTGAAATTTAGAATTGTAATGTATTCCAAAACTAATTTTGCTTTTTGAGGAAGCCAGAGTTTTATTTCCTAAATTGATTTCCCATCTACCACCAGCTATTAGAAATTCTCTAAATATTTTCACTTCTACACTATAATTCGTGGAGCTGGGGGAAGATGATCAATGGGTGGAAGACAGAAAATAATACCAAAAAATCATTTTATTAGTAAAACAGATAGTTAAGATGTAAAACTTCTTCCTAAAAAATGTATTTAAAACATTTTTAAAAATAGGATTAAAAGTATTTTTCTAACATGATAAAGAGTATGTTGAATTAATAGCCAATTTCACACTTAATGGTTGATAATAATAAGTGATGTTAATAATTGGCAACAAATTGTCATCACATTCTATAAGCAAGGCCCTGGGCAATCAATGTGAATAATCTTATTTAATCCTCAGTATCTGTGGGAGATTGGTTTAAGTACTCTCTGATGATATTAAAATCTGTAGTTAATCAAGTCCCTCACATAAAATAGAGTCATATTTGCATATAACCCATGCATATCTTCCTGAATACTTTAAGTCATCTCTAGATTGCTTATAATACCTAACCCAATGCAAATGCTACATAAGTTATTTTTCTGCTGTATTGTTTTGGGGATAAGAAAAAATATAAAGGACTTTACATATTTGATACAGACACAATTTTTTAAAAAATGTATTCAAACCAAAGTTGGTTGAATCTATAGATGTGAAGTCCCAAATATGGAAGGTCAACTGCAAATTTAAAGGTTAGGCTTGGTATTAATTTTTATTTCTTAGGAGACTGAAACATAGGAAAGTTAACTTTTCCAAGATCACTAAGCTTAAATTTATGGAAATCAGATAAGTCCCCTGAATTTGGCTTCCATAATGTCTCAGAGAGGGCAAGCTGATGTTCCTGGAGAAGAAGCTGTCAAACACAGTCCCAAAGGCACATGTGCATAGATTAGATTAGGCTTTTAATAAAGTGACATGCTATAGTTGGGTGTATAATTTTTCACTAAATACCAATAGCCCTGGGAGTATGTGGCTCAGCCCCCATCAAGGTTTGCTTTCCCCACAAAGTGATTCAATAAGATGGAGGAAAGGGAACTTGGTAAATCACTAGCCTCAGTCATTTTCCCCAAGTAAAAGAGGAGGAAAAACTCCACTCAAATCCTTCAGCTGGGATGAGAGTCTTCAAAGTTAAATACCTGCCAGGCACAGTGGCACATGCCTTAATCCTAGCAGTACCAGAGGCTCAGGCAGGAGGATTGTGAGTTCAAAACCAGCCTCAGAATCTTAGTGAGGCACTAAGCAACTTAGGGAGACCCTATCTCAAAATTAAAAATTAAAAAGGGCTGGAGATGTAGCTCAGTGGTTAAGTAAACCTGTATTCAATTCCCTAGAACCAAAAAAAAAAAAAGACAGTTAAATATTCAAGACAAAGGGATAAAAAGTCCCTTGAAGCAAATAAACACAAAATGTGGGTTCTAATTTTAGGTAACAGAGGCTTCCTTCTCTTTAATTCTCGAGAGTAGGGGTCTGAAATCCCAGGGATCTTGCCAGTTTTTATAACTACACATCTGAATGTATTGATGAGTTGTGAAATCTAACTAGCATGTGAGACAAACATGTTTTTCTAATAAAAGATAATAAGAGAAAATTATAGCGTTATCACTTGTAGGTATTGTTTCAGAAAACTTTTGTTTTGACATTTCAAAGACTTATTGAAGTAGATAAAGGTGAACATAACAGCCCCATGCCTCCTGCCAAACCCAATGAAGGGAAAGACTGCACCTGATAAAAAATCATAGAGAAAAAAAATAGGAAAAAAGGAGTCAGAAAGACAAGATGCTGACTGACATATCTGCATTTCTTTGGGAAGAAAGTCAAAGGCAAATCCCAGAACATGCCCCAATCCACTCCTTGTGTGGCAGAAATCACCTCAGAAAGTGGCTGACTCAGTACATCAAAAAAAAAAAGAAGGAAGGAAAGAAAGAAAGAAAAGAAAGAAAGAAAGAAAGAAAGAAAGAAAGAAAGAAAGAAAGAAAGAAAGAAAGAAAGAAAGAAAGAATTCTAAAGGACTTGTATAGTTTGAAAAGGAATCACCATTAATATATAAGTCTGGGGTATGGAAATCAGTCTGGGACAAGTCAAGTGGGTTAGAGGGACCCCAAGTTCCAACCTGGTGAGAGGTGGACCATGCATATGCATGAGAACATTACATGGTTCATAGATTTGACTTCAAAGAAATGTGAATTCTACAAATAAAACCAAGTCCAAAAGCAACCTCAAAGAACTTGATGAATATGTTAATGTTAACATGGCTGATAACAGTTCTTAGGAATCAAAAAAACCACAGCAATGGCCTAAAGCTAGGGCTTGCTGGCAGATATTCTTTTATCTGACAGAAGGTGCAGGGATTTTTGCAAATGAAACTGCACCTTGTGCACAAAAGTTCAGGAATCCAACCTTCAGAACAGTCATTCCCTCTTCATGTAATTGACTCCAGGAGGTTCAGAATCTGTTGCCATTTGTAAAACTTGACATTCTCTGATTGAACCTATTGGCACCTTTTTTTTTTCTGTTATACATGCCATATCATTTTGAAAACCACACAATCGGCCAATTATTGAAAAGGCAAAGGGGAAATTCCCATTAGAACAAGTATGAATCATTAACAATATAACTTAGTCAAAGCTCTTGGCCATTTGGAAAAAGTTATATGTCCCTCTCTGAAATTTCATGTCATTTCAAAACATCTCACTAGATATCTGATTCTTCTTTCTCCCAGAAAACAATCATACAGAAATTCTATAAGGAAAAAAAAGGAGCATGAAGTAATGAAAAAGATATTGTTTCTATCCCCAAAATTCTTACAATCTGTGTTATTTACTGGAACACAAACATGCAGTATTGTTTCTAATCATCAGAGTTATTTGCCTGACACATATAAATATGCCCATTCATAGACTAGAAAACTGAGGTCAGTTGTATTTAATAACTTTCCTGAAGACACCATATAGTCTAAAAAAAATCCACTAAAAATGTACAAAAAAAAATCAGTCACAAAGTCTAGAAAAATCACCAAAAAACAAACCACAAAACAAAAATGAAAACTGGTCTGTGGTTCTGCTACAGTCTACAAAAATAATTTATCTTTTGTTTGTTTATTTATGTTATAGAGGAGGAAAGTTTTATTTGAGGACTTACAGTTTCAGAGGTTTCAGTCCATAGGCAGCCAGCTCCATTTCCTGGGGCTCAAGGTGAGGCAGAACATCATGGCAGAAGAGTGTGGCAGAAGTAAGCAGCTTACATAATGATCAAAAAGCAGAAAGAGCTGCAAAATTTATTTTTGAAACTAATAAATCTTGACACTTTATCAAATTGTCTCTTCCTTGGTCATGGTGACCTCTTTCAAGTCCAAGGACTCATTCATCTCAGAAAGTTTGTGAGGAGGGTAAATTTCTTATGAGACTATCCTCAATGGGGAACCCCTATTCTGTTCTGCTGGTGACTCGGGATAAAAGAATGGACACAAATACTCCCAAACAGCTATGGAGAACAAAACAGCTGTACAAATGAGGTCACCATTGTTAACATTAAAAAATTTGATTTCTCCCATCTCCACATCCAGGAAAATTCCCACTTGGCAAAGGTCAGGACTTGCAGGAATTCTTTCCTGCGTCGAGTTAGCATGAATTTCTCCTGCCTTCAAGCTAATGATCCAGAAACCATGCTCAGGAGATAAATTCATGCTCCTCTTTCTTTCCACCAACTCTTTGCAGACACCCAGGGCCCACTCCGTCCCTTGTTCCACTTCGACTTCCCAGTAATGGCGTCCAGAGGAGAAGTAGGGGGAGCCCAGGACACAAGCAAGCCTAGTGAATCTTGTGGGATACTCCACCAGGTTGTGGCAGATCTTCCCACAGTGGACAGTCTTTAGATCATTGGAGAGCACAAGGAGACAGTTGGCGGTGGCAGCATCCAAGGTCACATCCACCCAGAACCTCAGAAGCTCAGTACTCCAAAGGAGATTTTGCCCCAGGAATGAGCCATGCTGCCTGATCCATAGTGTCAGCGTTCTAATATGCAGCTCTTCCCTGACAGGTTTCTTGTTTTCTCTTCGACACAAGGGGCAGATCAGGATTGAGTCTTCTCTAATTCTCAGCCAATCTTGAATGCAATGAAAGCAGAAAATGTGTGAACAGGACAGAGAAATGGGATCGAAGAACAATTCCAGGCAAATTGGGCAGAATATTTCCACTTCCAAACGTCTGTCCATGGTCCAGGGGTGAATTCAGTCCAGTGAACTTT